CCTTTCAAAGAAAGCTGTAGCAAGATTGCAACTTGATTCTGATTTTGTACGAATGCTTTTCTGAATCACCCGTCCCCAAGGGGTTAAACCTGGGCTGATTTGGGATAGTTAAAATATGGTTGAACCAGGTTTTGTGTATATTGCTTTTACGGAAATTCTCTGAGAGCATGTTCCGGAATTGGTTTCGGACCAGCAATTTAAATGAGTGCAGAGAGATTGAGCAACGAGATGCTTGGGTAATAGTTGTTCCTTTCTTGGCCAAGAAATCAGCTTTTTCATTACCCCTAATCCCGCAATGTCCCGGGATCCATTGGAGGACGATTTGCTTGCCTTTTAGTGTCAGGTCTTTCAGACAATCAATGCAATTCTGAATGGAGATGGATTGGGGAATCAGTGGAGAGTTAATATCAAGAAGGTAAGCATAACATAAGCGGAGGGATACATAAGTAGTTTTCAAAATTTCATTCGATTTGAGGAAGCTTGATATTGTTGACATTATATCAATCATTCATACATAGGGTAAGAGTTGGCGTGTTTCTTCCACGTCGCTATATAATATCTACCGAAACAAAAATTCGTTGTCGATATATGTATCTATGTTTTCAGCTATGTAATAAGGATAATTTCATTTTAATTTTTAAATAGCTGTAACAGTATTAAATAATTTACTATTTCTTTCCGCTTCTGTTCTGTTAAGCCTAACTCGAATGTATTTTAATATCCTTTCCGTATTATGCGTATGTTAGATTTACGAACTAATTTTATTTTAATAAATAGTTTTTATAAACTATTTATCTCACAAAATAAAATAAAGAAAATTGCCTATATATGTATATGTTACCGTGAATGACCAAAACCAAGATAATGTTGACTTTCACCGGCGAATGTCAACAATCACACAGTGTTTCAAATCATTAAGGTTGAGTTCAAGAACGAGAAGACCCGCTTATTAGATCAAAAGTTATTCAGAGGGCTCCGTTGTTTTAATATTTTTTTTATTGGCGCACTTTTCATTTATCTTAGTAAGTCCGATTAATATTTCCAATTAATCACTAGTTTAAACTTTAAACATTCCTCCTCTTTTACTACCACTTTCCCTATACGTTTTCGGTCGTCATGGATTCTGCCATGCGATTGCCAATTCTCATGTTCTATCCTAGCTCTTCTAAAAGTTAGATTTTATATTGTTTTAGCCAGTTCACATGTCCAAACTAATTACATAGAAGGAACTAACCACAAATTACATTTTTTCCCTGGTGTATACAAACCATAAAATCATGGAAATTATTAAAAATTCCATTGCTTTAATCCTGTTTTTCCAGTTCAGTTAAAAGCTGCGATTTTTCACTTTAATTTAAATTGAGATTTATTATTATCTATATAACATAAAAACATAATAAAATGAAATAAATTTAAAATTACGTTTTTCAAGTAATCTAAAAATGAGAAAATTATTTTTGAATGATTAAGTCCCCAAGTATAAGTATAAAAGCCGTAGTTATTATGAAAAGAGTTTACCCCTCGCTCCACAATGGATATAGTAATAGCAGATAGCGTGAAACCCCTTATGGTGGACGCAGTATTCATTATACCGAATACCGTACCTGCAATAAAGAAGAAAAAAAATCATAATTGTGAAAACCATTACTAAAAGCAGTAAAATTAGTCTTACTGTTTAATTTATATATTTAAAGATCCTTGCAGATTATTCTGTCTCCAAGAATCTTAAAATAGATAAATTAAAAATTAGGACATTTTCTTATAAGATAGAGTTAACCCTGGAAGCAATGCAAAAAATTATTAATATTTTAATATTTAGTTAATAAAATAAAATGCTTTAGATCTTTCGATTGTAACATTATATATATCATCAAGAAACGGAAATTAATGCGAAGCAAATATGGGGTTGATGATCAAAGCGAGCAGAGGTTGAGTCCACAGCGATGTATATTATTAACGATAAAATCCTTTGAGCACAAAATAAAAAATTCTCGTAATTTCTTTAATAAATGTCATTTAAAAAGAGTGCCGGAAAAAGGGTACTCATATTCAAAGAAAGCACGTTTTCGTGTCTGATTTCGAAACCTTAAATATTATCCGCACAATTTAATAATTTTTATATTTTACATTTACCGTCGTTGAACAGCCACTAACTAAAGATAATTTACGTCAGTACTGTGGTCGGTGCTAGCCGGAAGCGGAATTCGTATCAGCCAGCTAACGTTGAGATTTGAACCGGGTACACCTCATTGGAAGACTAACTCCTCCTCTGAGCCATCACGGCTCACAAATTAATAGTTAGTATATTTGAGGTCACCGCATGATCATCAAGAGAAATTCAAAGTGGTTCGTTTATTACCCATTTGCAAAATGGGTATTGTTTTGTGTTTGATGTTGTACGCTACTTATTTGGACGTCATCACACTTTTCAACTGTGTTCAGGAGTAATAGTAAACTGTGCACATGCGTCGTCATTACATGCGTTGTTATGGCGACAGCTGTTGCTTGAAATTTTTTTTAGAATTCCTTTTTCCTTTTTATTTTCATCAGCAGTCATTTAATGTGACATAATATATTTTAAAGTATTTTTATTTTCTTTTTATTATCAACTTATAATTACTGTCTTGACGGTGATTTAAATATAAATATGAATACTGAAAAAGGAAAAAGTATTTTGTGACGTCTTGAAACACCAGGATTTGAAAACCAATCCGACGACAAGCATCAACTGAGATAGTTTTTTCAACCCATGATTTGAAATGTTGTGGCTTTTATCGGAGTCAAACCAGAAAAAAAAAAGAATTTGATCTACGGGTAACCAGTGATCGTAATAAAGCGATCACATTTTTTTTTTTTTTTTTTTTTTTTATTTTACNTTTTTTTTTTTTTTTTTTTTATTCTTTGTCAATCTTACGATGTGGACCGTTTCTCTTAAGGCATCCCATCACGCCAGCGTATGCAAATATTGCCGACTGTTATTTATTCATTTATTTATTTTGGCAAACTGTATGCCAAAGGTTTTTTCTAGAAGCTGTCATGTAAATTGGCTAGTTAGCGCGTCTGTAATTAGAAAGATATTAAGTTTCAATGGTATAGATTTGTCAATAGTCAGAGGAACCAAAAAAGAGATAGACTAATTATGGTAACTATTCAGCAGAAGATACTTTTTCTAATTCTTTAATTTTTGTGTAATTAATAAAATTAATTATTATTAATAATAATTTAGTAATTAATTATTAGTCTCTGATCTTTGTAAGAATTTTTTAATGTTTCTTAAATTTCTTTTATCTTTCTGATTCTTTAAACATTAAGTTGAAATGTCTTAATAGTATTTAAATATTTACTTACAGAAATTGTTAATTTAAGTGTAAGCATTATTGATAAAGATTTAAATATAAATTTAGTTATTATTCAATGTCTTCTACCTTGTAAGAACAATTTGTACAGAAGAACTTTCCTAAGATTATTTCTGATGTGGTATTACATAAACATACACGCAGTTGTATTACATAGCAACAAAGTTGTTGGGTTGCATAACAACTAAATAGTAATAAAAATGCATAAAAAAATTGTTTATAAATAGGTTTGTAATAGTCTGTCAGTTTTGTTTTTTAGAATTTTATGGAATTGCACTCAGTCTCTCATACCTTAACCTTAAAGAAATTTTCTATTTATATTACATATAAAACGAGCAATAAGCACTTGGCGCAATAGCTCAGTGATGATTAAAGCACTGAACTGCCATGAAGGCCAAGAAATTCAATTGAAGAACTGGGGTTCAATTATCAGTGGCAGCTTGAAACCCACCGAGTTTCAAATCAATAGATACCAACTTCGCAGTGCTGACTAGTGTTGATCTCAAAGTTATTGTTGCTGTTGTTGAAGTTGGTTCTCTATGTGCTGTTGGGGGTTGGCTCTCTGTGTGCTGTTGGGAAAATGCATTTTTTAATAAACACTTGAATAAAGTTTGTGAACCATGTAAGAAATTTTTAAGGAGGAACTATTTAAAGATAATGCAATATTGTTTTTAAAATCTAACATTACATAAAAACAGGTCATTAATTTTTAATACCATGATTTTTTTAGAAAATATTTTTAAATTATTCTTACCGGCAAATTCTGGTGTCAAATCCATTACATTCAGAAGGTAACCACTAAAACAGAATCCAGAGAAAGTCATCAAAAGAGTTAAAAATACGATGTGAGCTACAAGGTTACATCCAGCAACCATCGCAAGACCTAGACAAATGGCAGATCCCACACCAGCTGCATTGAAAGATGATACGTACAATTACTAAATCACCCTAAACATTTTAAGATATTTGAAGTTTACAAATACTTACATACATACCAAACCTAAACTTAATGTATAATAAGTATTCAAAATAGCTAATACTAGTTAAGTGAATAAAACAAGTTATCCTGTAAAACAAAGTTTCCAAAGCAGCTCTTTTACACCCACATTCATTACCAGGTTAATCCTTGGGCACAAGTTAATCAAGGGACGTACACAAGAAACGTACAGAGCAATAACAATAGACGTACTTCAGCTATAGAGCTACCAACCTGACTTTCTACAATATTTATAATAGTAACCAAATACATAATAATTAAGTAAGCAAATATGTCCAAAATTTTGCTAGTCCCTAAAAACTTCTCAGAATTATTATTAGGTATTTTGTATTTATTGCTGAGCCCCCCCCCCTCCCCCCACAAACAGCCAGGTGGTCGATAGGTTAGAGTGCCTGACTGCGAAGCCAGTGGCTGCGGGTTCGAAACTCGCTCAGAGCATGGATGTTTCTCTCTGAGTCTTGTCCTCTGTTGTGCTCTATGTGTGAATGGGGCCCACCGTATGAACGGGTATCCGTGGCAGTGTGACGTGGCTAATGTTGCTCACCACCGTGACTTGGATCATAAGGCAACTCAAAATGAGCAACAATTCCGTCACGTTTCACCGCTAAGAATGATTAGTTCAATGCCTGCCGCTAAAGAAAAGAATCATCGTTGAATTATTTAAATTCCGTGGTAGATAAAATACGAGAAATGTAAATAAAGTAAAATACGAAGAAAACATTTTTCAATGAATGAACAAGCTGAATTTACATTTCTTCAATAAAATCACCAGCTAAGTTTTGTTCTTTTTTATTATATATCTCAAGAAGTTGGCAAGGAGCAACATTTAATTTAAGAAAAAAATTCAAAATATAAACATATACATTTTACTTTAAAAAATTCTCTAAAACAAGGGTATTTCCTATATTCATAAGTAAATGATAAAAGGAAGAATTGATTTTTTCATTTATAGGCTATCGCAAAGGACGTAAAGCTTAAGGTAATGCAATTTGGCGATCTATTCACAAAATGGACATAGATACTATTTCATAACCATTCAACTAATGATTTTTCCAAGCACTTTTTTTTAAATTTAATGGCTTAAAAAATAGGATTTAAGTTTTGAAAAAATCTGAAAAGTCTGTACGTATAGAAAAGTTTATACCTATTACAATTCAAGAGATTTTTCATGATAAACAAATTAGTTCAGGAAAAATATTTACTTTTTTAAAAAAAAAATTCCTCATTACTTTCAACATTTATGTTCCAGTCGTAGGGTTAATTTTCAATTATAATTTAACAAATCATTCAAACGATAAGAAGAGAAACGTGATTCATTAAAATAACGTTTGAGTAATTAATCTTTGAACCATTATACTGACTAAACTATCAAAACTAGTTTATCAAAACTTCGTATACTCCCTTTCCCCTATTTTGAGAGTTACAAATCAGAATTTGATTTGAAAAAAAAAATTATAATTCTTAAAAAAAAGTGTTCTTTCGCCTCAAAATAAGCACTTTCCGCCATGGTTACAGTTAACTGTTATTTAAAAGATTTTTTTGAAATATTGCCATTATACCAATTCGACCAACCCTTCAAAAATTATAAGGGTGATCTACTTTTTTCTCTCTCTTTTTATCGACTGTACAGTGACTTTCCGTGCTTCATTGCAACTATTTTACTTACAATTATTATGAAATTAACTAATGAAATAAACATTATTAATGAATAAAAGCACCTTTGTTTTAAGATAATAGGGAGATTTCGCACTTTTGTGATAGCTTCCGTACCCTCCCGTGCGTTAGATTGAAGCAACTGCGCATGCTCTTGCTTATTTTAGATGCTACGTATCTTTGAATTATGTTGGCGTGACTTAAGTTACAAAGAAATAGCTACAAGCATGGTTTATAACTGTTCAATGTTGTTTTCTGTTTAAGCCTACCTTCGAACTAAAAAGGTAGACATGGAATGCTAATTTGAAGAAATGCATTGAGGAAATTTAGAAATAAATAGTATGATCTTACAACAACTGGTTCATTCAATAAATAAATAATTTTATAGATTTTTCTTCAACATTATGGCTGTCTAATTCCACTAGTTATATAAGAAACTCGATATATTTTCTCTATTTTGAAATGTATAAATTATATTTGTATATTTAAACTATTAATTAAAAGTTAAAATCAACAGAAGTTCATTAATACTTTTTAATGCTAATAACAATAATAAACTGCCTTCTTCATCGTTGAATTCATCAAAATCTATAATCTACCCAGTTTTTCTACTCACAGAACCACACATTTGCGTACAGCAAAGTCTCATAAATCGCATGCCACAACTTTAAAAAGATAGCCTACGTCAATTGTAAATGTTTGTTTTGATTTTATGGTCAAAATTAAAATGATATTCCCCTCCGTTAGCATTGTCAAATTATGAATTTAACTTACTTATGTGATTGGGGGGGAACTTTCTTACGTGAGCTGGTGGGCTGCCCCTTGAGAATGCAAAATTCCATTATTAGCTCATACATACCTAAGGTATTGAAAAAACGTCTTGCAAATAGAACGGACACAAGCTCCCTCCTCAGAATTAAATCCGATAGAAAACCGCTCATCACAGCTGTTGATGCTTTCAATAAGTATGGGAAGGATGCAATAAAGCTGTTCTGCAAAGCATTCAATATCATTAATCGTAAGTAATTCAAATGCTCAAGTAACACTTAATTTGAAAACGGTAAGCTAAACATAATTAGAATTATTTTTGTAATTGTTATGTCATTTTCTTCTTGAACTGTGGGTCACCACCCCAATTGGGATTATTGAACCTGCATCAGAGATAAGAGACGTTTAAGATACCCGATGTCAGAAAACTTATGTGCTGATCGCTGCCTAAGAAATCTCGTGCTCATTTAAATCGTAATTTATTAATATTCACACTCGTACTCTGCGAAAATTGCCATTATGATATGCTCTCTTTTACTCGGTGGAAGAGAATATTCTGCTTTAGCTGGCAGTTCGAGAAATTTTAGTTAAGAGCTCACAAAGTCACCAGTAAAAAGATTTTTAAATTTCAGCAATATTTTGAATCGAGAAATTTTAGTAAATCATCAAATTAAAAACTGCGACCGTGGGTAGTAGCACATTATTCTGCTTTCAATAATAATGCAGTATCTAGGGATTCGTCACTGACTACAGAGCAAACTGATTCGTTTTGTAGTTAAGAAGTCGATGATATAAATACTGATCGTACATTTCAGACTGTTTTTCCGAGGATTCATCGTCGTAAGAAATTATGCTTTTTCGCTGCTGTATTCATAATTGCTGTAAGTTTTTAACAGTTACGAATGACTCTCAGGTAACGTTTAGCCTATTTATAGGCAGCTGTCTCTATGCTTATATTGAAAAGGGCACGAAATATCGACGTGGAGAAAAGCCGCAGTTTTGTGAAAATGAAACGCATTTGCTGTCTAATTTTCTTACATTTAGAAACTTGCTGCAATATCTGGTCTTAATAAAAAATTTCCAAAAAGCGGAATAAGGCATTGATTTTTGATAATTTTCATCTATGTATAAAAATGTCACTGAATTGACGATTTTAAAATATTTTTGTTATTTGCCGTTCAAAATCACGCGTAATTCTTTACAGCAAAATGGCATATATAGTTTAAAATTATATCTTTTCTCCAAATGTAAGGCTTTCGTGCTGTGGCTTTTGCTCATTTTCTTGGTGAAAGAGCTGCAAAAAAACCATGCGAAAGAAGTGTGTTGAATGAAGGTAGGAACTCTTCATGGATGTAGTCTGGGTAGGGAAAAACGTGCCCCCTCTCTTGGTATGGAGCAGGAAACCTGCCTAGTCAAGACTTTCAGTTGGATGTCACCGTGGTTTGTCTGTGTTTAAAGAAAGAATTTCTCTTTGGACGTGATCAAAACCGTAAAAAATGATCTTGAGGTTGCAGTTACTGCATTTGGGAAATGTAATTCTGGACTTCTCTGAAATTCGTATGAAAAGTGTCAACCTGTGGGTACATCTTAGTATCGTGCTGTATGTCCGCTGTGAGTGTTGTTGTTGCTTCGAATGCTACTTGCACATCAGCACTCCTGCTTGGTTAAACCAAGAGAATTTAAGGAAGAGGGTTTTTTCAGTGGTGCCATCTATGGCCAAGAATACGACTTCAGCCACAGACACGTCACAACCCTCTTGTGGGGTGATCCCATTCATGCATTCATTTATTCATCCACTGATCGTAATTTTGACCTGAACTAGAGAACGATCAATTTCCAATTCAGTATCCCCATTGGTATGATTTGTTATAGGACTTTGTGACCCGTCAGATTTAACGTGTGTTAATCAACATTTGGAAACTGGTGAATTTTCAGCAGGCGGAGGCTGCACTCACGACTTCTCAGTCATGGGCCCAAAGTCCTACTAGCCAAACTATCCCTGCACTGAGCATGGCCGAAACATTGAATCTGAAGCTTTCCGGCCGGGATAGCCTGGTCGGTAGGGCGCTGGGCCCATATCCAAGAGGTCGTGGGTTCGATCCTCGCCGGCCGAAGACTCCCCGTGTAGTAAATGGTGACTGATGCACGTTAAATCTGTCGAGTCTCAAAGTCCTCCATGTTCCCACAACAAATCAATACCTCTGGGGGTACTGATCCAGGAGTTTCCTTGTCTTCTGGATTGGTTCAAAATTACAAGGCTACGGAGTTGAACGTAAGTAGTCGTAAACCCATGAAATTGGGTCGGCTGTTCAACGACGGTTATAAAATAAAATAAAATAAAATCTGAAGCTTTCCTCTACAGAAACGTTCTCCTCGAATTCGGTGATCCTCCTCGTGAGCACCTCGGTGTATTGGCATATCATTGCAAAAGTTCAGTTATAAAATATATAGTCTTTTCCAACATTATAGCACATTTTAATTAAGGAACTATGCTTAATCCCCCCGTTGCTTAAAACATAGAGGTTGCTGAAAAAGGACGGGTCATTTAAAAGCAAACATTTTTGCATTTCGAGTGGTTTGCAAAAATTTTTGAGGTAAGTGGTTCCAGTCTTGGCAAACGGATACATAAAGGGCTAAAAACCTAAATATTATGTACTGTATCAGAAAAATAAAAGGATTAAAAAAAATTAAATTCGCTGGAGAAATGGACAATCTTTAAAAGAAAGCAGAAATGGCTTATGATTTTAAATATTCAAGTAGAGAAAAAAAAAATTCCCGTTTTGTTTTTACTTATTCGTTTTATAAACTAAATTTAAATCAAAACTCTGTTACAGATATTTCTTTTCTATTTTTTTTTCTTCTTGAAAAAAAATTGGTGCTCCGGAAATAATGGCTCCATAGATTAAATCCAATGACGACAGTCAATCGAGGGGGCATTGGAAAAAAATATTAAACCATGTTCATTTTCTTCACTTCATACACACTTCAGGACATAAAAATTGTTTTAAAAGCATATTTCAAGCTGTGTTAATTTTCTTCTAAAGCGTAACTTAAGCTATATACAAAATCAAAAGTTTACCAACAAAATACTTCGCAAGTGCAGAGAACGTTGTTAAATTGACTCGAACAACTGTAATGGTTTTCAAATTATACCATTTTACTTTTGACCAACAATTTTTAAATAATACCATTTTACTTTTGACCTGAATAACTGTAACAATTTTTAAATAGTACCATTTTACTCATGACCAGAAAAACTCTAACAATTTTTAAATATTAGCTCCTTACTTACCGCATCAAGTTCGAAGTGCAAAATATCGAAAAAGAACTGTGGTAGATGATTCAGAATTGTATAGTAGGACCAGTCTTCTCCAACTTGCGCAATCACAACTGCCCACAAAGGAAGTGACGTCAAAGCCCTTTTCCAAGGGAAGTAGGGTAACTATAAGTAAAGGTCATTGAACATTTAAAAATTTCAAGATAATAAACATTCCATTACGAACTCTCGATGTTAAATTGAAGAGAAATGAAATAACAAACTACCAATGAAAAATTGAATAGAGAAAGATAAGGCTTCAGTTTATGATTGCTTACATAGTTTTAGTTCTAGCCGATTCCCTACCAAGTGAAAGAAAATATATACTTTGTATTGAGAAAAGGAAACCAAAGCTTTGGGAACACAAAATGGTGATACGACGTATTTGCTTTATACTAGAGAATATTTTCTAGTATTTGTTACCGCTTCAATTTTTAAAAAATTCATATTTGCAGAATTTCTGGTTCAAATAAATTTATACACATATATAAAACCTCCTCCGCCTTCCGTATCCGGCTTGCACCGACCACAGTGCTGACGTGAAATATCCTCAGTGGTAGACGGATCATGGGTTAGAGTCCCTTTGCCGTCAGGCTAACTCGCGGTCTTCCTCTTCATGTAACACAAGTGAGGATTAGTTTCATCAAAAAGTCCTCCACGAAGGTAAATTTCTCCCAATACTTGATCCAGGGGTTCCCTTGTTTTCTGGATTGGGTTCAAAATTGCAACTCTACGTAGTTGAACAATAGTAGTCGTAAACTCAGAAGTCAGGTCGGCTGTTCATCGACTGTTATAAAATATAAAATAAAATTACATCGGAGGATTATCTGTCGTATCTTGTTTGGTAAGCTCCAGGCAAGAAAGGATGTGGTCAGGAGACGCCTGTTCATTGTAGCATATGAAGCAAAAATTCAAGCACTTGGAACAGCCTAAATATTTTAAAGGTCTTAAGTGACCAATGAGAAAGCGATTCTCGTTAGACTGTTAAGTGCTCGATTTCGCGTGAAGGCTACTAAAGCAAGGAAACCATCCCTTCTGCAAAGGAGCAAATTGTGACCAATCATCCTCAGGGATTTTTCTCAGACAGTAGTCAATAGCCCATTGTGGAAATTTAGACGTACATAACGTATCTACCAATCAATGCATATTAGAACAAAATATTAAATATTAATATCGCCATCCCTGCTCTCCAGAATGAAAAGAAAAATTGTCCAAACATGGAATGGTCTGCGATGCGTGAGAGAGTACATTTGTATTAAAATGGCTACAAGAGATAGATGTATGGTGCTTCAACAAACCGTGGCTAGAATGAAAGCACAAAGTATTCATACAAAAATAATTTAAAATAACATAGGAACAAAAGGTTTACGAACACTATTCGCTATTTTCTCCTGTGATACAAATTTGCAACCAGTTCTTTACTACAATCAGTACTACTATATGAGATGCTCAATGTTTTGGCCAGACTGTCTAGGTTGCAGGATGCATCCAAGACTCATATGGTACGCTTGAGAAGGATGATGTCATAAATCTGTCTAAAATTTGCAACCATGTCTAGCGTATACAGATACCATTTGCGCCGACATGTTCTGACATGATTTTTCATTTATTTTTGTATTTATTTATTTATTGTATGCCTGCTGTGCCTCAATAATTTATGTTACGGCCTCGATAATTTATGTTATGGTTCGATAATTAAGTTATGGCCTCGATAATTTGAATAATTATTATTGTATGGATATTGTATGAGTATTATATATGCGCGAATAAACCTCTAGGCGCAGTTTGAAAACATTATACGGTACCTCGACATCATCACTAATGGTTTGATTGCTCGTTATATATTCCAGTTCTTCAGCAGACATAAAAGGATGATCTTTAGGTGTATCTGTTACCAGGAAGATCCAGAGCAAGCAAAACAACAATCCTAACAATCCTGAAACACAAGTTTAAAAATGCAGAAGGCTGTTCCATAATCATCGCTCTTAATATATATTTTTTAGAATGAATGTCAAAGCCGAAGTCAAAACAGTAAAAACATTTGGAGTTAATATTTAAATATAAGGTACTGTTCTATTTCGGCGACAGTAATAAAAGAAAAAGAAATCACCTAATTACTGTGTCTAGTAATGCTTAATTTATTGTGGTAATAGGCATCTTATATATAAGCATAGATAATAAATTGAAACGCGTTGGCTCAAGAGAAAGAGCGTTCATCTTCCAAAAAGGTGACCCAGGTTCGAATTCCAGTGGTGGCTTACAGTGATCACTACACTGACGTTCAATATCCTCAGATGTTGACAGATCATGAGTTAGAATCCCCTTGTTGTTGCTCTAACCATCGGAGGTTAATCACAAAATGAGAAAATGCTGGTTAGTTCCATTAAAAACTCTCCACGAAAGCTTGAAGAGTTCTCTAGTCTTCTGGGTTCTGTCGAAAATGATCAGGCTACGGAGTTGAATAGAGATAGTAGTACACTTATAATTGGTCGGTTGTTCAGCGCCGGTTATAATATGAAATTAATTAGGTAATGTTTTACGGCTCCTCGATAGTGAATAGTGCCGAATAACACGAATGAGATTCAAGAAGCTTTATTCAAATCATCGTTAGAGTTAATCACATAGATGACGAGGTTAAAACCCTCCAAGCGTTGAGCTCCTGGGTAAAATTGAACAGAAATTCTATGCTAGGTTCTATTCTGTCCTTGAAAAATATTAGGAAAAACCGGTTCCTCGATGCAAGAAAGCTTGCAGCTAAAAGTTATGAAAAAGTAAGGGCTAAAGCTTATGGAGTAAAAAGCGTCAAAATTGGTTAATGTATCGGATAAAGCGAAAAGGTCGTGAAGAGCAATAGTAAAGCTGATCGGTTTACCCTTGCTATACGAGGCAATCATAAGCGGCAGGCGAACGATTGTTTACATTTAAAAAAAACTGAAGCATTCTTTTAACTGTCCCATATGAAACGGTTCGTTTTGAACCGGGAAGATAATTCAGCTTAGCATTAGCATTATGTAACAGGGCTAGTATTAGCTTGGGTTAGCTATCCCTTACAATAAAAATGAGGTGTTTTTGAGGTTGACCGATGTAAATAAATACGCCTGAGGTAGAAAATGAGGTTTTGTGTTTCACCAAAAATAATCTCGTTAATAAACCTCAATTTCAACCTCATTTACATCTCACAAAACCAACTTCCTGTATCACTCAGATATAATTTTAGCTTAGAACGGGTGAAATAATTCACACCTCAAACATTCGTATTTGCTTACAGTGTAGAAAAAAATAATCCGTACGCTTAAAAAACAACCTCCATTAGCTGGGTTGCTCTAAACCAAATTTCCATCAACCTCAGAACAACTTCAAGTGTGAGTAAAATAACTTTATACGCCTTGGATATACACCTTGGGAGTTTGATCTTTCAAGATTGTTTTTGAAATTAACTTCGAATAAAGATCAAATCAAACTTGGCACATCAAAACAAACTCAAAAATACCCTACGTTTCTGCAAGGGCTTAGCTTTAAGGTTAGGACTTCATCCGGTGTTAAGTTGAGCAAGCTGAGATGTTTGATCAATAAAAAGGTGCGAATCAACCGCCTTAACTTTTTCAACCAATTAAACTAAACATATGTAATCCTAATATATAATCCTTAACTCTTGAATCTCGAACCTCAAATCTCGTCCTCAAAGTAGGTGAGCTTACTTTTGAAGGTATTTAAACTTAAACTGTATAAAATAACTGGGCACCTGAGGCCGCTTGCGGCCCTTTTCCCATTCATCTTGAGCTTGATCTTTGTGGTGCTTCGTTGAGGTTGTGGAATGCAAATGAAGTAAAGGAGTATTCATGTGGATCATTGAGGTTCTGAATGTGTAATTATATGCAGTAGGATGATAAGATTATATTGTAAAAGTATGAACTTTAGCTAAGCAGATATGATGAAAATGAGGTTATGTATATGCTATTGATGTTGGGAATATGATGCATCGATGTGCTAGTATGCTGCAAATGGTCTGATACTCTTGTCTTCAGTTAAATTTTCAAATAGAAATATTTCATTGAGCCGACCGGCCTACTGTCCTTGCATCAGGGAGGTTCTGGGTTCGAATCCTGGGCAAGACATGGATGTTCTTTCCCACTCTGTACTATCTGTCCTTACTGTGGGAGCGACGTTGGCCCACCAAATATGGTGCCCCTGTAAAAGAGGTAAAAAAAATCGCCCTGTAGATGTCTGAATTGACAGATGTTAACACAGGCGGGCATTAGAAAAAAAAATATTTCACTGAAATTTGGTGCAGAGCAAGAGGTGGCTTTTCCACAAAAATTTGATATTTAATTTAGCTACATATTTGTGTATTGTATCTATTTTGAGGTCATGATGTATTGTGTCATTCCTGACGAACCATCTGACATTTGCTAGCCTTTTCAGTATTTTATTATAGCAGACCAATGCCATAACATGATTCTCAACTTTTTTACATAAAATTATTTGGATTGCGTCCTGGTGGTCAAAATAACTTTAAATCAAATTTATTGCACCAAGAAAAAGAACATTGACTTCGTAATCGATTACGCCACATAAAAGACAGAGCTGGTAGCTATGTTAAACTTGAATATAAAACTTTTACTCATTTGCGATGTATATAGTCTACGTGCATTTCATCCAGAAAAAAGGGCTTACCAATAAAATAAAATGAAGAGGCCCATCCGAAAGATTTTGAGTTGCAGAGTGCTCCAGTGACCATCATGGTTATGAAAATACCCACATTGATGCCAGAAAGCGCGATGTTCTGCAAAAGATTCCTTTCTGTATTTGGAAACCATAGTGCCATGAGATTAAATATGGCCGGTAAACAAACACCCTAAAAATTGTATTTTACTTTAGAAAAAATATTAAGAAATGGAATATAAAAGAGGGAAAAAGAAAATAATAACCGTTGAACTACTCTTTCAGATATGAAACGATTTAAGCTTGTGATTTGTGTGGCGAGAGGTTTAACATCTAACTATTACTTTCACGTAATAATCTGTTCCTGGGAGAAATAGCCCGCTAACCCTTTCGTACCTGCAGTCTAATTTTCTAAAGTTGCATCACTGAACGGTGTACCACGTCTCGAAGTGTGCACACTTTGTGTTAAAATTTCTTATATTTTACTTTTGTTGCTTGAAAATAATTCACTCCAAAATATTACTCACAGAAAAAACTTGTTTCTACTCGCAAAAACTTACTAAGCGCATTCAAAATATACTTTTAGTGGTATTAACCCTTTGTACTCGAGAGGTGACTGTCAGTCACCACTGTCACCTGTAAATTACCCACCACCCTAAATGTGAAATTTTTTGCACCTTAATGCTTAGTTACCACTTCATTCAGTGATCTCTGAGTATTATATGGTAAGTTAGTAAAAAAAAATTCAAAATATTACTGGTTGCGCCCATTTTTTGTAAGTGTTGAAAGGATTTCGAGTGCAAAGGGTTAATCTAATATACGTAAATGGAATATTAGCTAGTGGCTGTAAATTGGGGAGGTTAACGAACTTTTTTTCGCGGAAGCCGGTTAATTACGGGACGCGTACATACTTGGTACAGCATGAATGCCGTCTAAATACGGCACTCGTAACGAAAGAGTTAATCTTACTCTTTGAAAAAATGCAAGAAGATGGTTTCAAATGTATTGAAGATGATGTAACATCCAAGTGGAATCCGTATGACAACACTGCTAATGCTATTGAATTTGACAAAGATGATAATCTGGAATTTTTAAATTTATAGCTTACTTTTTTACTGTGGTATACTTATTATAAAATACTCTTGAATAAATTATCTTAACTTTTTCCTGAGCATAATTTCAAGTTTTATTTCTAAAAATAACTTTATGTGTAAGAAACATTATGAGAGAAAATGCCAAATTAATTGTATATAGCACATCGAAAATAGTCTTTGAAAAAAGTTAATTAATGTAGAATTATTCATATCTATCTCATTATTTATTATTCATCGATATTCCCGATCAACGAATGTCCTATTTTATTACCGTTATATAAGTCGACTCCATGGTTTTTGTAAAATTTTACGACTTATAAACTGATATACAATGTAAATCTCTGTTTTGTAACAAACGCTTTAATATAAATCATATTTATAGTAGTATCTCATTACTTTTAATCAAACTTATATCAAATTTTTATATTATTTAAAAATTTTATCTCGTGTTAAATATAGAAATGAAGTTTTACTTATAGAAACAATTCTTGTCATGTGAATATGGAATTTTGTTTTTGCATTGTTGTTACTCATGCCGCTTGCAAATATCAGCAAGCCTGCTTAAACTCAAATGAATTTTTTAGGCAGAGGATGCGTTTCTTGTTTTTCAGATGGGCACCATCGCCATCTCTATACCATCTAAAAATACGAATTCAGCAACTCATTCATTCATCCACAGATCGTAATTTTGACCTGAACCAGATAACGATCAATCACCAATTTAATATATCTAGAGGCATTGATTGGTTATGGGAACTTGGAGGACTTTGCGACCCCGACAGATTTAACGTGTCCCAGTCGCTATTTCAAGCACGGAGATTCTTCGGTCTACTGGATTCCATCATGAGTCCGACATTCTGCAAACCAGGCTATCCCGGCCCTATTACATAGAAATGAAAAATAAAGAAATAAAATTTTATTTATAAAAAAGTTCTGGTCACCTGTGCTGCCCCAGTCAGCATTCTGACCAGTAGAAGCAAATGAAAGCTGTTATACACTGCAAATGGTACAAGTAATGTAAATACCAGAGAGATCATGAGTCCGATGACAAAAACCCACTTTCCACCAAACATTTCTGAAAACCTGCCACCAGGTATCTGCATAATGAGAAAGAAGTAATAGAACGAATTAAGAACGAGATTTTGCATGTCTTGGGGCCAATTGTAAGGACCAGTCTAAAAAATAAAAATAAAAATTAATTTACATACTTAGAAAAGGAGTTCAACTAGAAAGAAATAAAGATTAATAATTGCATACATATATTCTCTTGTCACCCACTCTATATGGCGGGTACGTCCTACACATACCGTAGCTTTTCTCTGGGTTACATCTCCGCCAAAGCTGGATCCCTGATCTGATTCGTAGTCGCAACACTCGCATACTTTTCTGAAGACCATGTTGTAACATGTCTAGAACCTTCCCTCTTCCCTGTTCTTGTCTGATTAGATGTACAGGAATGTATTGCAAGAATGTATAACAATAAGGGAATGTATTGAACTCTAAGTACTGGATTACTTCCATTATATCTTTAACATTTAGATAGCTAAAAATACATTTTAAAAATACATGATTCTTGCTTAATGCAGTTTTGTGTTCAATATAGATAAAAAGCTTAAAAAATTTCATTTGGTTCGAAAATCAAGATAGAAACTAATGTACTTGCTACTCCTATGACTATCCATACGCTAATGGTGTATTCATGTCTAGTATTGCCATAACTAAAGAGTTCTGCTGAGATGCAATAAATGGCAATTTATAAGCGTGATGCAATAGAATGTCAATGATTAGTGGTCTAAATAAAATGGAGAAGAACCTTGCTTTTGCTCTCAAAATAAAAGGTTGTTAAAGGCACAGCTTTAGGTATTGTTTTTCTTTCCTGATAATGGCAGAAATTCAATTTACGGAATTTAAAAGACGATTAAAACTAGCTTTGCTTACTAATACTGGTATTGTCCAGTTATTACGGATAGTTGAATAAAGTCCAGTAGTCCTTCCAGTTTTTATGGATAGTTGACTAAATGTAAACAATAACAAACTTCCTAAGACCGGAAGAAATTTAGAAAATTTGTGGTGTATCCATACGCTTATGTTATGCTTACAAGGCGATGTGTAAACAGGCTTGATATTCTAGTTTTCGTAATGTGATTTTTTATCAAATTTACGTTAAAATTTACCATTCATCAAAGTGTTCTGTAATCCTCTATTTACGCTTCTATTTTTATATTTTGTATTTTATTCTGTAAATATATATATATATATACATATATATAAGGGTAATTCTTTGGAAACATGACAATTAATGCAGCAGCAAAGTCAACGTGAAATCTCAGTTGTTCAAAACTTGGAGCATAATAAGACAATCAAATGAAACGTAGCCTTAAAAAAATCTACAATACTATAAAGG